ATAATATATAAATTAAATAATACATTATTATACAATAAACATACATGTTTAGGGGGGGGGGGGGGCGTAATCCGTATGTTTGAAGGTTACGGTTGAAAAAACCTGCTCCGGTCGTTCACTTTAGCAGCAGTATCATACAGGATTTAATTCAGAGAAAACAAGATATCAACCTAATACCATCATTTTGTACACTGTACATGAAGTACAACTTGTACAATGTATATAATAACGTACATTAACAAGAAGAGGCAATGCACCTTTATTGTACAACTATTTGAGTGTACACTATACACTAGACTTTTTCCGTCAGATCTTTATCAATTTTCTCCCTTTCTTTAAATTTCGTTAAGAAAAAAAGAACTTATTATATATTCAGCTTAAAAAGTAGAATTGAAGAAAGATGTTTCTGTAAAACATTCTTATAAAATATTTATATTTAAACTTGAAGACTAAGTGTATAAGGTGTGAAGTGTTAAACGTTTCAGTTGTTTGAAGAGTGTGTGAAGTGTGAATTGTGAAGTGTGTGTTAAGTGTGAAGAGTGCGTGATGTGTTAAGTGTGAAGAGTGTGTGATATGTTAAGTGTTAAGTGTGAAGAGTGTGTGATGTGTTAAGTGTGAAGAGTGCGTGATGTGTTAAGTGTTAAGTGTGAAGAGTGCGTGATGTGTTAAGTGTGAAGAGTGTGTGATATGTTAAGTGTGAAGTGTGTGTTAAGTGTGAAGAGTGTGTGATGTGTTAAGTGTGAAGAGTGCGTGATGTGTTAAGTGTGAAGAGTGCGTGATGTGTTAAGTGTGAAGAATGTGTGATGTGTTAAGTGTGAAGAATGTGTGCTGTGTTAAGTGTGAAGAATGTGTGATGTGTTAAGTGTGAAGAGTGTGTGATGTGTTGAGTGTGAAGAGTGTGTGATGTGTTAAGTGTGAAGAGTGTGTTAAGTGTGAAGATGTGTGATGTGTTAAGTGTGAAGAGTGTGTGATGTGTTTACTGTGAAGAGAGTGTGATGTGTTAAGTGTGAAGAGTGAGTGATGTGTTAAGTGTGAAGAGTGTGTGATGTGTTAAGTGTGAAGAATGTGTGATGTGTTAAGTGCGAAGAGTGTGTGAAGTGTGAATTGTGAAGTGTGTATAAGTGTGAAGAGTGTGTGATGTGTTAAGTGTGAAGAGTGTGTGATGTGTTAAGCGTAAAGAGTGTGTGATATGTTAAAGGGAGTGTTCGCGAAAAATGAAAGGGGGTATAGGCCACATTTGTATATATTTAATATTTCATACTAGTTTTGATTTTGTTTTTTAAAATAATATTTAGCTTACAACTTGTTTTCGAACATTCCTGGAAAATAAGAAAATGTCGTCTTCATTACCAAAAATCCTCGAAACAGGAATAAACGTTTTTATAAGTAACTCTCAGATCATAACAATTAAAACATATGAAAAATCAACTATATATAAATGTGGCGAAAGGTAATCGATGACTATAGGTTGTAATATCTGAATGATTTGTTTGATATTAATTTGATTTTTTTACGGTCTAAGTCGTATGTTCCAACTTCCTCAATTTGTATGGGCGCTACGCTCTTCGGTATGAGACGTCTTTATCAATTTTCTCCTTATTTTGTTTTTTAAAATAATATTTAGCTTACAACTTGTTTTCGAACATTCCTGGAAAATAAGAAAATGTCGTCTTCATTACCAAAAATCCTCGAAACAGGAATAAACGTTTTTATAAGTAACTCTCAGATCATAACAATTAAAACATATGAAAAATCAACTATATATAAATGTGGCGAAAGGTAATCGATGACTATAGGTTGTAATATCTGAATGATTTGTTTGATATTAATTTGATTTTTTTACGGTCTAAGTCGTATGTTCCAACTTCCTCAATTTGTATGGGCGCTACGCTCTTCGGTATGAGACGTCTTTATCAATTTTCTCCTTATAGACGCAACAGATATAAGTAAGATTAATGGCGATCAAAAGCTCTTTTTTATCGCATTAAGCCTATACCCCCTTTCATTTTTCGCGAACACTCCCTTTAAGTGTCAAGAATGTGTGATGTGTTAAGTGTCAAGAATGTGTGATGTGTTAAGTGTGAAGAGTGTGTGAAAAGTACGTGAAGTGTGTATGAAATGTGAAGAGTGTGAAGTGTGAAGAGTGAAGTGTGTGTGTGAAGTGTGTGTGTGAAGTGTGAAGAGTGAAGAGTGTGTGTGAAGTGTGTATGACTACTACGCTATGCATGCATGTTATGCTCAGCTGGCATACTTCCGTCTTTATAATCTTATTCATCTAATTCATTCACTAGGATACTAGAAACCTTAGCCTTCTTCCTGATTACATAGATTTTATCCTAGAATTCATATCTTATATCTTAGTATTCATATCTTATTTCCTAGAATTCATATCTTATATCCTAGAATTCATTTCTTATATCCTAGAATTCATATCTTATTTCCTAGAATTCATATATTATTTCCTAGAATTCATATCTTATTTCCTAGAATTCATTTCTTTTATCCTAGAATTCATATCTTATATCCTAAAATTCATATCTTATATCCTAGAATTCAATACTCATATCCTAGAATTAATTTCTTATATCCTAGAATTCATATCTTGTAGTCTAAAATTCATATCTTATATCTTAGTATTCATATCTTATATCCTAGAATTCATATCTTATATCTTAGTATTCATATCTTATATCCTAGTAGTCTAAAATTCATATCTTATATCTTAGTATTCATATCTTATATCCTAGAATTCATATCTTATATCTTAGTATTCATATCTTATATCCTAGAATTCATATCTTATATCTTAGTATTCATATCTTATATCCTAGTATTCATATCTTATATCCTAGAATTCATATCTTATAGTCTAGAATTCATTACTTATATCCTAGAATTCATTACTTATATTCTTGAATTAATTCCTAATATCCTAGAATTCATTACTTATATCCTAGAATTAATTTCTCATATCCTTGAATTAATTTCTTATATCCTTGAATTAATTTCTTATATCCTTGAATTAATTTCGTATATCCTTGAGTTAATTTCTTATATCCTAGAATTCATTACTTATATCCTAGAATTCACTTCCTATATCCTATATAGAATTAATATCCTTTACCTATCAACTTATATGATCAGAATCCTAAGATCAGAATCTAAATAACGAGAACTAACTAATGTCACGAAATATGTATGTAGAAGAAAAAATCTAGGAAAATATGTTGATATTAAATTAATTTAATAATATGATAAGAAATTTTTAAATGAGTAGTAGAAAGGAAGGGTAGGAAGGATAAGGTTCGTAGGAGGAGAGTAGGAAGGAAGGAAAGAAGGATAAGGTTTGAAGGAAAAGAGGGAACAGGGTTGGAAGGAAGGGAATGAAGAGGGTAGGAAGGGAAGGTGGAAGGAAGGGATGTAAGAGGATAGGAAGGAAAGGAATTGAGAAGGTGGAATGAAGAGGGTAGGAAGAGAAGGTGGAAGGAAGAAGGCAGGAAGGAAGGGATGGAAGAGGATAGGAAGGAAAGGAATTAAGAAGGTGGAATGAAGAGGGTAGGAAGAGAAGGTGGAAGGAAGAGGGCAGGAAGAGAAGGTGGAAGGAAGAGGGAAGGAAGGAAGGGAGGGAAGTAAGGAGGTGAAGACCTTGCATTCCAATGTTACAAAACCACTAAGTGACCATTCTAAAAATATCCCTTGCTTCATTTTATCTTCTTGAGTTATATCTCTGGATTCCAAAGTACTCTTAATCGTGGAAGGGGAGAGGGGAGGGATGGAGGAGGGAAGGCCTACCTATCTATATATATTGGAGAGTTGAATGCTGTATCTGGAGAAAGAGCTCCTGCACTATTCTGTCGTAATCTTGAAGAGAAGATACTCTCAGACTTGGCGGAGAAATAACGGGAAAACCGAGATGCCTAGAAACAAAATTAAATGAAAAAATATTTAAAGATTTTATCATATATGGTACATTGTACTACTTGTTGTGCTATTATCTACCTCGGTCTTGTTACTGTAGACCACAGTGTAGATGTGGTAAAATTAAATTTAAACATTAAAGGGACTATTTACGTAAATTTAAATGACATATCCGATTGACAGCGCTATCCTTTAAACCTCTGTTTGAGTAACAATTAGGAAGATATCGTCTTCAAGTGTTAAATTCTCACAATTTCTTCTAATACGTTACGATATAAATCAACTTTACAGAAAACCACAATTAAAAATTATCAATTTTCAAACAGAAAATTAAAGATATTTTGATTTTGTTTATCAAACAACGGAAGGATACCGTTATGCATCGAACGTGCAACTTGTAACAAAGAGGGTTACTTTACAAAAACTGAATTTTTCTTCAAGTTGTTAGAATTTTTGAGATCTAATATTTTAACAGTTTTTAAACCTTGTAAAATATTAATTCATTCATTCATTGATCTTCTATTCTTGAACTTTAATCCTAATATTCAACCTTTTGTAAAATTCATTCCCCAAAGTTGCTTAAATTAAATATTAAATAATTGCTGTTTTTATCTGGATGGTAGTAAACGTTATTTTATTATCAGCAATAAAGTATATCTAAAGGGTGTTGAAAAAAAAATGTCACACTTTTTCTCTGACAGGCTTAATTATTACCAGATCTTAATCAAACTAATATCACAATGTCTCTAGGTAGGCGGATCGGTTCCTTCCCAAGAGAAAAGAGCATTTAATCAGAACTTCAGAAGCAGGATTGACCATATCCGATAATTTTGTAACCATGTAGTCCGAACATCCTAGAGACATTATGATATTTTATCATGATCGGGTAATAATTAAGCCTGTGAGAGAAAAAAGGTGTGAAGTGTTTGGTCTTATCCTCACACCCTTTATCTGTATCATGTAACTATACAATAGTAAAACCGACCTTAAATATTTCATTATCCGACTCCTCGTCAGAATAAAATATATCATCGTCTCCCATATCATCAAAACTACTCATTGTAAGCGTCATTTGAAACCTCTGAAATATTCACATAATTAAACATATTACCGTGGGGGATTTAATGATAAATATCAAAATTTTAACAAATTTACGATGCAGTACATTAATGCAAACTTAAATCATATTTTAGACACGAAGAAAATTGTTCTTATTTGTCCGATATGACAGGTCTTGTACTGTACTGTCTGCTCGCTCTGTTCTCAAACATGCCTAGATTAAATTCTTTAACTTTTTATCAGATATTTCTAATATTTAATTAGTTTTACAATTTATTTTTAAAAATTTCAATTTGTTTGGATTTATAAAAGGAATCAAGTCAGCTGAGAAAAAACATATTGTCAATTAAAATGTCATGAGAATAAATGTAATATAGAGATACACTCTAAAGTGACTTAATTCACAGTACAACAGTTTTTGTAATTTTTATTTTTATTGTTTTATGTTGTACTTTTAAACGCGGTGTTGTATTATATTAGTGGAGTTAAAATCTAATACCAAGACGAACTAACACATGTTCAAGGTTTGGATGTAACCAAGAGACTGAGCAACTACCCCCCCCCCCCCNGATAATGTTAACTAATAAAGTGTACATCTTGAGATGCAGGAAAAATCTCTTGTTTTTATTTTCTTTCTTATTTAAACAAGTCATTGTTTTCAAGGCAAAAAAAAGTAGATTTGGATTTCAACCAAAAATATGCGTCAAAATAAACATCTTAAGATATTTACGAAACTCTTGGTCTCTTAAAAAAACATGAAGAAAGAAAGTAAAAACGATGCGCAAATCTAAATCAATATGTTTGCCAATCTGATATTGCTTTTAACCTATCTCTAAGTGGTAGTTATAAATATGCGAGTATAAGCTCAAAAGTAAACTAAACAAACCCACGACCCACTCAAATGTCTATCAAAGTTCTCTTCCGGTATACTACTAAACTAAAGTATATATAAATACACAATCCTTAAAATATAAATAATACATATACTATATGTGTACACAGTATGGGACATCTTCACTACATGTCTGTACAGTTTACACAGTATGGGACATCTTCACTATATTTCTGTACAGTTTACACAGTATGGGACATCTTCACTATATGTCTGTACAGTTTACACAGTATGGGACATCTTCACTATATGTCTGTACAGTTTACACAGTATGGGACATCTTCACTATATGTCTGTACAGTTTACACAGTATGGGACACCTTCACTATATGTCTGTACAGTTTACACATTATGGGACATCTTCAATATATGTCTGTACAGTTTACACAGTATGGGACACTTTCACTATATGTCTTTACAGTTTACACAGTATGGGACACCTTCACTATATGTCTGTACAGTTTACACAGTATGGGACACCTTCATTATATGTCTGTACAGTTTACACAATATGGGACACCTTCACTATATGTCTGTACAGTTTACATAGTATGGGACATCTTCACTATATGTCTGTACAGTTTACACAGTATGGGACATCTTCACTATATGTCTGTACAGTTTACACAGTATGGGACATCTTCACTATATGTCTGTACAGTTTACACAGTATGGAACATCTTCACTGAATTATGTAACTGTAATTATGTGGTTTGTGTTGTACAAATAAATGAAAATCATACATTTATGTACAACTTAATTAGAAATATTTTGTGTTACTGTTAACTATGTGTAGTTTTCGTTAACATATGTGTACATATATTGTCTACACTGTACAGTGTACACAATATATAATATATGAACATTGCAATGTATTAAACATCAAAAACCAAGTTCAAGCGGGACAAATATAATTAAAATTTTAAGAGTTAAATATGAATATATCTCCTAAATGCTACGATATAATAAATATTTTTTACACTGAAAATGTAAAGCATGAATAATAAAGATAAGGAAATTTACGTGTTTAGTATACAAGGGATAAGTGTAGCGAAGGAGAAATAAAAAATAAAATGATTTTTGAAATAAAGAAAACAAAGGACAGAAGAAAATAAATAAGTATGAAAACTTTTTAAAATTTTGATTACTTATTTTAAAGAATATTTTATGGAACAAAGGACATTCAGTTTTATTTTATTTTTAATTATTTACAAACAGTTCCACTTTCTGAACTCAATCTCAAGTTAGCCAACGTATTCATATTAATCTAAATTCGCTAGAGAGTGAAGCAATGGATTTCTGGAGATATTTCTAGCTGTAAACCTTGGGAGATATTTCTAGCTATAAACCTCAGGAGATATTTCTAGCTTTAAACCTTAGGAGATATTTCTAGCTATAAACCTCAGGAGATATTTCTAGTTGTAAACCTAAGGATATATTTTTAGCTATAAACCTCAGGAGATATTTCTAGCTGTAAACTTCAGGAGATATTTCTAGCTGTAAACCTTATGAGATATTTTTAGCTGTAAACCTTAGGAGATATTTCTAGCTGTAAACCTTAGGAGATATTTCTAACAATAACCCTCAGGAGATATTTCTCAGCGTCAATGTCAGAATTTATTTCTAGCTTTAAACCTTGAGATATATTTCTAACTGTAAGCCTAAGGAGATATTTCTAGCGGTAAACCTAAGGAGATATTTCTAGCGGTAAACTTGGGAGATATTTCAAGCTGTAAACCTCAGGAGATATTTCTAGCGTTAAACCTCAAGAGATATTTCTAGCGTTAAACCTCAAGAGATATTTCTAGCGGTAAACCTTCGGAGATATTTCAAGCTGTAAACCTAAGGAGATATTTCTAGAGGTAAACCTTGGGAGATATTTCTAGCGGTAAACCTTGGGAGATAATACTGCAAGTAAACAGTTGTAAAAATAAAGGGATAACAAGTTGCGTAATTATGGTATTTGTTAAGGGGAATGGTTTGGATATTTTGTAAAATGCATATATTTAAAGGAGCGGGTGCAACTGCAGGATCTTCGGGTCGCTCATTCTTAAGGTGCAGTAAAATAACTTTTTTAAATAAGATTAAACATGGAAGATTAAAATAATTATTTTTTATTAAAATTATTTTTTACGCGTTTTATTTGAATAAAAAATCAAATCCCGTACACTAAAAGGGCTTTAATAATATTTTAACTGTTTCAAGAATGTCAAAATCAAATTTTTATAATTATTGACCCCCTCCATCTCTCACTTATTAACCCCCTCCATCTCTCTCCTTTCACTTTCTTTAGTTCACAAAGGGTGCATACAATATCTTACTGGCAACACATGATAAATACAACTGGAACGCGCCTTTCTATATTTAAAGCGCGCATTGGTTAAAACGCGCGTACGAAGATTTGAGCTCGTTTCCTAGTGTAGCAGTGTATACTAATTTGAACCTGCGGAAGGATACGCAATGATGACGATAAGAAAACTTGAAACGGGGATAGGGGGGGACCGAGTTCGACTTAGACGAGTGTCAAAGTACGTTCGCTGAACAACAATTAACATTTGAAGGGACTGTAAGCGTAAATTCAAGAGACCCTCCATGCAAAGATAGCAATTCACTACTTACAACGGTACCATTGAAACCTTAATCTAATCGACAATGTATAAGATACCGTGGTATGCATGGAGGGTCACATGAAATTACGCTTACAGTCCCTTTAAAGGAGGGGGAATAATTAATAAAAATAAAGAATGTAAGTATCAAAATACAATAACTAAAATACACTGTTTCAGGTATTTTTCCGATGGTGCGAGAGGGGGGGGGGTGGTATAACTAAACAAAATTAGCATTTTAGTCCGTTTTTAATAAACAAAAACTTGAAATTTTTGAACAGACGATAATTTTATATCTGTTAAGCACATCCTCTCCCTCTTACATCCTGTGTAAGCCCTTGCTTAAACAATATTTGATTTTATAGTTTCTATCTTAAAATAAATGTTTGTATTTCACTTCGTTCAAGCCCTCGGTCTTACAATACTTGCATTACGCACTTGATATCAGATCCGGTAGGTTACAAAATTACAATGCTTGCATTACGCACTTGATATCAGATCCGGTAGGTTACAAAATTACAATGCTTGCATTACGCACTTGATATCAGATCCGGTAGGTTACAAAATTACAATGCTTGCATTACGCACTTGATATCAGACCGGTAGGTTACAAAATTACAATGCTTGCATAACGCACTTGATATCAGATCCGGTAGGTTACAAAATTACAATACTTCCATTACGCACTTGATATCAGACCGGTAGGTTACAAAATTACAATGTTTTGTTAATGTGTAAATAAATAGAGAAATTAACATTTATCAAAAGTTGCAGTAACATGAAAAAAGCATATTTTTCACAAGGTGCAATATTAAATGCTAGTGTGGGAACCCAGCGCTGCCCAGAATACTAGTAACCCCAGCAGTAGACCCGCACTTGAACGATTTTACCGGGAAACTAAATTTTGACTTTTAAAGTCGACCCACTCAACTTGAAATCTCAAAACTAAGCTAAGAACATTTCCGTGGGTCTCTCGAGTTTCCCAATCAAAATTTGAGGCCAATCGGCCTCGGGGTTCCTGAGTTATGATCGGACAAACAAACAAACAAACAGCTAGAGATTACAACTTTATATTTATAGACATAGACTCTGGGTTGAGAAATCACTTTGTTTTGAACCGATCAATTCAAATTCTATTTTCTTACCTCGCGTTTTTGAATCACAATTTATTAAGATTAAAAATGGGAAGAATAAATATACAATTGTAGGTAACATTTACAGGCCTAACACTGCTCCGTATGCAGACGTGAAATATTTAAATCAAACAATAAGAGAAATTTTTTCAAAAATTAAGTCTGATCCTACTTTAAGAAATGCGCAGGATGTAGTCTTAGTAAGAGATATGAATATTAACCTTCTGAAACATACATTGCATAGTGACACAGAGACTTATTTAGATACGCTTCTTGAGAATAGTTTTTTGGCTCTTATAACTCTTCCAACGAGAATAGGTCACAATTCAGCAACAATTCTAGATCATATTTTCACTAACATTGCTGATGACAGTTTTGATTCTGGCATTATTGTTTCAGATTTTTCTGATCATTTTCCTGTTTTCTGTATTCGAAATTTTTAAGATAAATTCATAGAAAAAAAGTCCAAATAGAAAACTCGAATGTTTGACTCTTGAGTCTATTTTCAAAAGATTAATGATCTGGTAGACTTTAACCAAGCTATATTTATGTAACTTCTTCCTGCATCTTTTGAAAACATTTT